TAGTTTTCTATAGCTTCATACAGATGGTGATGCCTTTTCCAGTGTTTTGGCAGGGCTGCATGAAAATTAATTCCTGGTGTGGTGGCAGAGGTAACAGGATACACTCTTCTTCCCAAATCTTGTGTAGTTAATGATAATATTCAGTATTCACACTTGGCTTTTCTCACACATTGTCTACCTCATTTCTGGTAACAAAATAATTTGCTTTGGTAATGCAAACTGATTGTGTTCTCTGTGGACAACAAATTATTATATTTACCTGTTCAGAAGAAATAACTTAAAACTGAAACATATAAAGGAAGGATCCAAAAGAGTTCAAAATTGCCAGACCTGTCACTTACAACATTGACGAGATGAGTCAGCTTGTTTGGCAGTGAATTTCATTCATTATTAATTTGACTTCCAAATAGGTCCTCCACTTGAATCATACTCTTAATCCTTCCGTGACATAGGAAGTTCTCAAGAAAGAGTTCATTTGTACACAGAATCTTTCGTCCACCATAATTTACTTTTAACAGACTTATATAAAACAATACGTGATGGTCTTATTTGACAGTATTAAAAATGTAGTGAATTTGGTGGTGAGCTCATTACAGTGATGATACTCAATGGGAGCGTCATCTAAGGCTATCTTGGTTTTAAAAATAAATTATTAAAAAAACTTTGTGAAAACAGATACATATACATACATACATACAAATAGAAGCAGTCAATAATGTGAGCATTATATGTGCTGCTATGACTAATACCCTACACAGCTCAGCTTCTAAATCTTGGAATCTCTCTACCTTAATATCCATATTCCGTGGGTGTAAAATCCCATTTTTCCCCCCCAACAAGTCAACAATTTTGATGCTATTCCCCTCCTTAGACTAAGAGAATACAAATATCCCCTACTGAAAGCTGCTTCAGTTTTATTTCTTCTTAACAGATAAATATAATGTGTTGGCCCTAAGAGGACTCAATGTGCATAATCAAAGCAAATTATTTTGTTATCAAATATGCGAAATCCCTTCATAAAGACACTTCCTCAAAGCCACACAAAAAGACGAACAAGAAGAAGGACTCGTGGTCCTGCACTATGAATTCCAGCAAAGTAGAGCCTAGCCCTTGAAGGCCCTGCACTCATGGGCTCTCTGTGTTCCCTGTGTTTCAACAATGAGTCGCCACATTTCAATTCAGATACTTTCTTTTCTGGAGTATATGATTCTGTGTCAGGGTAATGCCACAATCATCTCACCTTAGATAAGTTTTGGCTAAAATAAAGTAGGCATTGTAAGTTAAATAGGTCACACTATGCCTCTAACTGCCTCTCTAAAGGTTCTGAAATGAAGGTGGGGGGGAAAGAAAACAACTTTCTTGTGAGCAGTGATCCGAAGCTTCTCACATTACATAAAAGCTCTTTTCTCATATTACTCCAAAGATCATTAAGCCCACGTGAATTTTGTGAAATACAAGCCTGCTTCCATAGCACATGAAGCCAAGCGCTTTTAAGACTTTTTGCAAACAGCCTGCAGTTGAGTATAATGTATACAATAGAGTCTATCAATTTTTGGTCCAAATAGCTAATACTACTACTATGAAACCAAAGTTACTTGAAATATATATATAAGCTCATTCTTTCCATCTTTTTTCTCTCCTTCCTTCATTCCTACTTCTGTTCTTCCCTTCCTCCCTTTCTCTCAACAACTTAGGCTGAAACCAACATTATAAATCTGTTGATAATAATAAAGAACTTAACCTTGGGAACCTAGTCATTGGGGAGTTAAGTCTCCATTCTATAGACACGGGAACTTCTTGGCTGATATCCCTGAGGTGCTGGCTAAGGGGGGCAGCCCTTCTAGTGTCAAGTTGACTACATTACAGTATTAGTTTCCACCTCTCCTCCTATAGAGCAATGCACCCAGCACCGCACTCCCCTAACTATACAAAGGAAAATCATTCACCCTGGCATTCCAAATTGCCCTGACTCACCTTCCACTGTAAAGCAGATTGTATAACCTAGTATAACTCAAAACTTGTTATAAAAAACCACTCATTTCTCAATAATTTGCCAGTTATTGAGCCACTTACGAACCTGAGTTCATTACCATTACTTGAAGATGTCCACACACATTCTGGATGTAAACATTTGCTATGTATAGATTAACTTGAATAAAGCTAAAATACAGAGGGGGGAGGGTTTCTAGAGAAAGATTTTTTTTTCAAATTGTCCTTTGAAATGGACCAGAAGGGGAATTAGCGAGTGGAAAGAAACTACCCTCCAAGTCAAAACCCAGCTTTGCTGCTCACCAGGCATGTGACTCTGGAAAAGTAATTCCACCTATTTGAGCCTCTGTACCTTGAAGATAAAAATATCTACCTCACCATGTGGTTGTGGAGATGAAGTATGATGAGACAGGTAAGGGCATTACATGGGCCAGAGCATATGCCACAGTGGTCTCAGCACACTGGGCGGGGGGTGGGGGGGGAGAAGAATTATTAAGTACAGTAACTATAAAAATAGGCACTAATACAGACACTTTGGGGGAGCAGAGGAGGGCATGTGAGCCCCAGCCTAAGAAAGTGGGGTTCACTGAGGTTGACTGAGGAGGAACAGGGACAGGTAAGTTGGGCTCCTTTCAGTGGGATGAGGAGGCAGGGAAGATTCCAGGGGAAACTGTAAGGTCTTTGGTTACATCTTTCTGTATGCTGTACATTAAAGATAATTTTTAAAAATTATTTGCTTTCTTACATCACCATAATTTTTAGACAGTATTTGATTTCTCATCTCAGGTGTAGTCTCTGCAGTTCCCCCATGACCAAAGCACCCGTGATCCAACACCCCCATCTCTTTATAGTTTTCCCTCGCCCACTTTTTTTGATACCTGTCCCCTGCTGTTTGCCTCAGAAGAGAATATATCATCCTCCAAAAACTGCCAAAATTAATCTGTAAAAAATATTTTACCTATGTGCTTTATAAGTCCTTTATAAATTATTTCTAAAACTCAGAAAATAATGAAAATTAACTCAAACATTCTTTAGCATGAACTAGGATAACTTGTGGGAAATAAAAGCTAGGCTACATTTGCTAGATTAATTAAAATAGGCATGTTTTCAGAGTTAGATAGCATTAGATATATAATACAGGTATGTAACCTTATTCTATGTGAAATTATTACATTTTTCCCTGAAAAATATTTATTCAAATAGTCATCATCTGTGTCAAGATCTGTTGTATTTTATTGTTTTTTTCCTACCAAACCAGCTGTGCCCACACCCCATCTGCCTCTCTCTGTCATCCCTCCACCCTTTACCCTACTCCTTCTGGTAACTACTATCTTCTAATCACATTTTAAATATGAGGAAACTAAGACTCAAAAAAGATAAAGTCTCTCATTCAAGGTCCAAGAACTACTGTCAGACTAGACATTAGAGTTACCTATTTGTACTGCATAGAGTATCTCTCCTATATGTTTTAGGTTACATGCAACCAAAATGTCAGAGAAAAGCTAAAGCATTGATTTGTTTTTCAGTTAAATGAAAATTTGACTTCAGCTATTTATAAATATTATATAACATTTTCCCAAATCTCTTTACTCAGAATTTTTAAAATCCTTAACATTAAGAATTTTACCTTCAGGCCTCCTTGGTGGCCTAGAGGTTAAGTCTCAGCATATCACCAAGAAGGCCAACACTGACCCATGCAGCACAGCAGACCTCTCCTGTTTCACCCACTCACTGCTCCTCTCAGCAATGTATTTCTGTCAATCTGCCTTTTCTGTTCCCCACTGTCTCTGGTGAGTCTTCTTACTGCTACATCTCTGCCCTATGCCCCAATTCTTCTATGCAAAAATGAAATCTTTTTTTTAAAAAAAAAAGAATTTTACCTCTCAACATATATTTCTTACTCTACACAAATTTACATAATTATTTCAAAAGTCTTACACATAGAAATAGTTTACTGCAATATCTATTGACCTCAGTCAAGAAACTAATCATTGAATACACATTTTTCATTAAAAATATCAGAAGGCCCTCCCTGGTGGCGCAGCGGGTTAAAGCACAACACTAAGAAGTTAAAGCCGCTTCAGCATGAGTTCAATCCCCGCCTGCCCCGGAGGTGACCACATGGTGTGGCAGACCTCTCCTGACCCGCCCGCTGCTCCCCTCAGCAGTGTTCTTCGTCAGTCAGCCTGTTCTGCTCCCCACTCTGTCTCTGGTGAATCCTCTCACCCTCCACATCTCTGGCCTGTACCCCAGTTCTGTATGAATAAATAAATAAATCTTTAAAAAAAAAATATCAGAAAGTCAGCCATTTTAGAATCTATATCATCAATGATTCAAAATCCATGACTTCTAAGTGATATTCTAATAATGTTGCACAATACTGTCATAATGATCTTAAAATCACTTCAAAATACATAATTACATAAACCTCTTTAAAGACTTGCCATAGCCTTCTTTCTTCTAAACTTACTAAATTTACTTAGCACCAAGATTTGTACCATCCACAAAAAAGTCTAGTGGCTAGTGAATTTTCAAAATACAAAACAAACATTGCGAGACTCCACAAGAAACATTACAAAAATACGGACAATATATATTCTGCATACATGACACACAAGTCACACAAATGAAAACTCATTCACTTATAATATTATTATTAGTTCCTTCCTATGAAGGCAAATTAAGTTCTACATTTAAAAGAGGCTATGCAAAAAGATGCAAAAGAAGAAGAAACAGCAACATTAAGCTAACCGAGTTAACTTCCTCATTTTCAGCACAAATAAAATAGGTGCACTCAGAATGAGAAACTGAGGTACCAAGAATTGCTTTTAGGTATTCCTTACTTTAGAGAGCTGAAACACATATATTTAAATACACTGAAAGACTCTACAACTGGAAAACATACACACTCAGAATATGCCACAAGAGAGACAGGAGCCATATGATCCGCGACAAGGTGGAGTAAGGTTTCCACAGCTGCTGTGGGTGTTGCCTCTCCCAGCCTTCCTTACCTTGCAGAGAAATGTGGAGATCATCGATGCCCAAGGACCCTTGCTCACCTTCAGCGGGAAGCACTGGGCTAGCTGCCATCCTTTGAATCAGTGCAGGTCATATCATGTCCATCTCAGTTAAAGACGTGAGCTAGAAGTAAAAGGGAAAAATGCCCATTATTACTTACGAGCAAACACACATGGCCAGAAAACAAGAGAGGCTCACAGAAGCTGCCCTGCCTCAGAGCATAGTTTCCTAGTGTTTCCACAGCTTATGAGGAAAGTGACTACGCCTCCTTTTTGAATCATAATCAAGATTTTACCCTGTGACCTATTCATGCTATTTGGAGTTGCTGGCAGAACTCCAAAAGAGCCAACACTGTGGACTCTATAGTCATGTGTAAAGGAAGGCTAAGCAATTTGATTCCGTATCTTGTCTGAAGGAAGTGGTATTGACAGACTGATACCTTAGGCCATTGTGAGTATTTTATTATTAACCTTCAACCTGAAAGTATTTTCTTTAAAACATTTTACTTGATTCCTCTGCTGCTCATAAATGTTGCTATTTAGTGAAAACAATAAGAGCTGAGCCTGCATAACTTGCAAAGTGAAACTAAAAAAATGATATCAAAAACAATGTTTTGGCGGGTTATCTATTAGATGAAATTATTTTCCCAAGCAGCTGTTTTTCCTCCTAAATAATTCTTTGTCTATCCTCACTTTGACTTTTAAAGAATATTTCTGGCTAAGAATAATTCTTACTCTACAACTCTTTAAAACGTACTGCTTCACGAATGTTTAGGGCTTCACAGATGTTTACTTTCTTATCCTATAAAACCTAACTAGACATATAAAAATATCAAATGTATTAAAATCAGATAGAGGGGGCCCTCCCTGGTGGCACAGCGGGTTAAAGCACAGCATTGAGAAGCTAAAGCCACTTCAGCACAAATTCAATCTCTGGGCCCAGAGGTGACCCACATGGCGCAGCAGACTTCTCCTGACCCGCCTGCTGCTCCCCTCAGCAGTGTACTTCATCAGTCAGCCTGTTCTGCTCCCCACTTTCTGGTGAATCCTCTCGCTGCCCCTGCACCTCTGGCCTGTACTCCAGTTCTGTATGCATAAATAAATAAATCTTTTTAAAAAATCAGACAGAGGTATTGATAAATTTAGATACGTGATCAATTATAGCAAAAAGATAAATGGTAGAATTGGTGGATGTTCACTGTAAAATATGCTTTAACTTTTCTGTATATTAGAAATTCTTTATAACATAATGTCAGGCACAGACTAAAAAATAAACTTGAAGATATCAGCTGAAGACAATCCTATTAAATAGCTAACAGACTACTGTTAAAATGCAAAGAATGAAAAGCATTAATCTAGCTAATGCTAGAACCAGACTTTAAAAATCTTTATCATCCAAAACTTTTTTTTTAATATTTATTTATTTATTTGTGCATACAGAACTGGGGTACAGGCCAGAGACTCAGGGGCGGTGAGAGGCTTCACCAGAGACAGAGTGGGGAACAGAACAGGCAGATTAACGAAGTACACTGCTGAGGGGAGCAGCGGGCGGGTCAGGAGAGGTCTGCCACGCCATGTGGTCACCTCCGGGGCAGGCGGGGATCGAACTCATGCAGAAGAGGCTTTAGGTTCTCAGAGTTGTGCCTTAACCAGCTGCGCCACCAGGGAGGGCCTATCATCCAAAACTTTTATCATCCAAAACCATTTATCATCCAAAACTTTTTTCTCTCTCCCATGGATCCCAGCTGTTATTTTACCTACCAGACATATTATAGTTCTTAATTAATCTACTTTATCCTCTGAGGTAATAATGTTGCTACACTGAGTTGAAGCTACTCAACTGAAAGGAAAAGCTGTCTACTAGTCAAGAGAACCTGTGGAGACTGGTGGTTGAAAAGGCATCAGCTTTTGATATATTAGGGAATTTTCTAATATAGCATCCTTAGCCCTTGATATACTGAAGAATTCCACCACCTCTTTCCTACCCATACCCAGTGGCTCCTGAACCCAACGTGAAGACAAAGCACTTCATGATGACAGAAGATGTGCATGCCAGAATGAATTTATTAAGGCACCCACTATTCCATTCCAGGGATATAAAAGTTGGGGTGGGGGGAGAGTATCCCCATTATGCTAAGTGAAGTCAATCAAAAGAAGAAAAACAAATACTGTGGGATTTTCACTCATTGTCTGACATGAAAAGTCAGAAAAAATAAAACCAAACTCATAGATCCTGAGCACAGAATGGTAGGGGAAGGAGTTGACGAGAACAGGCTGGGGGCTGGGATGTGACCGACTGGAACTGGATGGAAACCAGATCTTTGGTGGTGGGTGTGGTGTAGTACACACATTGTTAAGATTGTAGATTTGTTAAAGTTGTACTCCTGAAAGCCACATAGTATAATAAACTAGTGGAATATCAATTAAAATTAAAATAGGAATTATAACAGTAGCAAATGCATACAAGCTTTCTTGTAAGTATGTTCTAAACACTAACCTCCTTTAATCTGTACAACTGTACAACTTGGTACCGTCATTTATTCCCATATTTGAAAAAAGCCAAACAAGGATGCACAACTATCATATACAGTAGTCCAAGAACACTGAGATAATAAATGATGGAGCTAAGATTTAAATCCAGGTGGTTCCATGCTTTTTTAATTTCCCATTCGTACCTTATATAGCCATAAAAAACTTGGCCAGATTTTATTCACTCTTATATTCATTTACTCAAAAGAATTTACATGTGCTAGAACCTGTTCCCCAGGAATTCTAAGAACAACAAATGAACACATCTCTAAGCGATGCATGTAGAATGCAGTGTGGAAACAAAGAGGGCAAGCCACACACTGAAACTGGAGACAGAGGAGCCTGTTAAAAGTACAGATAGGAAACAACACTATCCTACAAACAGTCCCATTAGCATTATTCAGGGAATGCCCTAAATTTAATAAGAACATCTCTGAAAACCTCTTGTCACCATTCATTTAATCAAATAGAAGGCATCAAATTTAAAACAAAAAATTCAGTTATACCTTATTTATATTAAAAACAGAAGTAGGACAGTTAGAGAACAGATTGATAATCAGAGAATCAAGAAATGTTCCTGTGCTAGACAGATGTGTGATATTCACTAAATTGTATATTAAAGTATAGGGGGGAAATAGTATCAGTTCAAAAAAAAAATCTAGTCCTTAAACTAATTATTGGTCTGTTAAGTTTCTATTTTTACCAGTGAAAATTTATTAACAAGCAAATCAATAAAATATAATTTTCTTATTTTTTTGAGAAATTCCGAGAGCTTCTAAATATGCCCATCAAAAGTACAACCAACCCTTAAAGACTGGCTCAATTCTAAGTGCTGGGTTATTGACCCAAATTCTGTTTCAGCACAATCATTTATCAAAACATGAGGCCCTGACTGAGGACACTTTATAACATTTTCAACATGATGGCCTTTGCTGAAAAACAGCTGGCATTTCCAGAGAGAATTTACTGGCCCAACAGGATCTATAAAACGGGAACAAAGTACAATAGAAAAGTTTGAGGGCAGAATTGAGAAGTTAAAAAGAGCATGAAAAAGGAAAGCGGGAAGATGGAAGAGTGTGTGTCCCAATGCTACATGAGTCACAAAGATCTATCAGCCCAAATCCCCAAGGACCCTCCTCCCATGTATGCTAGAGGTAGAGTGGGGAGCAGAACAGGCAGACTGACTGAACTACACTACTAAGGGAGCAGCAGGTGGGCCAGGAGAGATCTGCTGCGCAATGTGAGTTACCTCCCTGACTGGGGATTGAACTCATGCCTGAATGGCTGCTGACAGCTTCAGAGTGCTGAGACTTAACCCCTTCTGTCACCAGTGAGGGCCCAAGAAATTATTCTTAACAGTTAAGAAACATCTTCAGACACAGAAACAAAGAACGATGAACTACTGTGGTGCCATGAAAGATTCTAAGGTCAAGGGGAAACTTACAGAATTATATTTTCAAAATTCATGTAAATGAATAGTCACACTAATAAACAACATAAGCTATCTTGAAATAACTGTGGTCTGCTTATGCAATACAATACATCCTATTATTCTGTATCTCCAAAACCCCAGAACATGATAGTTTCCCTTTTTAAAGAAATTTCTGCATTAGCTTTGGACTATTATCATTATTAAATGGGTTTCCGCCTTATCTTCCAGGCTGATCAGAAAATGTACCATACTAGAATATAGTGAGCACATTCAGGGATTCTTTAACAGAGTGATTTATATGCCAACATTTGCCCCAGGGAACTTTTCTTGTTCTTTTTTCTATTCTTTAGCTGTACCCATTATTTATGGTCTACTTAGGAATTCTGAAAGCTCTCTCCCTTTGGTCAGTTAAATTATAGAGCTTTTCCTAGCAACTGACAGTTATTAACTTCGATCTTACAACCTCACTAAGAAAGTTGGTGATGCACTTTTAATAAGTTTCTTCATCTTTTCCCCATTAGCTTTTCCTAATACCCTATTACTTACCCTTTCATTGTCACTTGACCAAAAGCAATAGGTATAAATGCCCACATCTGGTGCTTTTAAAGGTCCACTCTAGTATCTCCTTTCAGGCACTTTTTGATGACCATCACAAAATGCAACACAATCAATCCTAACTCCTCACTATACTTTTGGAAAACATAGTAATTGTCAGAATATGATACCACTGGGCTCCCTACCTCACAAGGAAGCAATGTTACTCAGCAGCCAATACCAACTTTGCTGCTAACCCACTGATTCAGCTGTGATAACAGCTTTAGGAGTGAATTCAGTCACTTTCCTAGGAGAGCTTTCTACTGGCCTGGTCCAAGGGGCAGGCGGAGATCAAACTCATGCAGAAGTGGCTTAAGCTTCTTACTGCAGTGTTTTAACCTGCTACGCCACCAGGGAGGGCCCACACTCAGATTTTCTAAAGCTCAAAATCTCCCCAGTAAAATTCCCTCCTTTGTTATAACTAAGTCACTTTGTTATCACATAAGTCACTCCCATAAAGTCTGGAGATAACATTCAGTTAAGTTATAAGTTCTGGCAAATTATTTGGGTTCCCTCCC